TGACATCAGCCGATGACTCAGACTTTTCACATGAAAGCTTTACTCTGGGATATGTCACAAAGACAGCCTTGTAGGCCAGCATCTCAGACTTTTTTAAGGGAGAGAAGCAGAGAGATCAGCTTGGGGACAATACACAGCTGAAGGAAAGAAAAGACAGGGGAACTAGTTCTACAAAATCCTTGTACCTCATATGACTAAAGAAAGTCAGAACAAACCTCCCCTTCATAAAATTTATTCAATAAAAGCCCTTAATACATATGAAAAGAATGCTGTCAGATATGACATGATATTGTATGCATGACTGAGCAAGGGGCACATCTTCATCTCATGTCCCACTGTGCAGGGTCTCACAGGCAGAAAAGTCTGCAGCCCTCCATCTCCTGTTCTGCTTCTTCAGCTGAATTGCATCCAACCTCATAGGAGCATTTACTCTAGACACCTGCTGTATCTGTAAACCATGCAATTGGGATGCTGGAGAAGCACCACTGATAGCTACTGCTCCAAATCTATCAGATGAGGCTAATGTCAAACAATGGAAAACATCCTAAAGTAGCACATGGCACAGTGCTGTTACATTAGGAACCTGTACACTGTCCTTCAGGGCACATTAGGCACAGCCCTGAATAACTCTATTACCTCCAATCCAGTCCTTCACCTAGCCAACAATTGCATAATTTATTTTTCCTAAGCGATGCAATTGACCCTTGCTCTCTGCTATCACATTTCCATAAAGCTTCTGCTTGGTCCTGCAAAGATCCAGGATCATTGGTGGCATTTTTTAATAACCCTGAGGTGGATGCATCTTTGCAATGGCAACTTCTAGCTGCAGCCAGCCTATGAAAAATAATACCATTATCAGAGTCAAACTGGAGAGGGACAGAAGGAGTTCAGGCTGAGATCTTTATTCCTTTGCTTTACTCCAGTCTCCAGATTTTCAGCTGATTTATTCTTCAGAGACCAAGAAAGTGATAATTTTCCCAGAAAAGTACTGTTTCCCAGAAAGGCTACCCCAGAATATAGACCACCTTTCTCACTTCCCAAGAAATACTGACTGTGTAACACGTTTCTGGATGTCCTCTCCCATTTCTCAGCATTCCAGGAAAGAAAATACATAACTTTTCCATAAATCAGAGTGCCTCCAAAGTGTATGTCCAGACATATACACTCTTATTATAGGCCTTAATGTATACAAGCGATCTCACATCACTCCATGACTGAGCCCTTCAGCTCTGTGAATAACACCAGCATAACTGGTTCCATAACTGGAACTCCAGCCAGTAAAACAGCTTCATCAGGGGCCCAACTTAAATGCCTCTATGCAAACACATATAGCATGGGGAATAAACAAGAGGAGTTAGAGACATGCACACACCGTCAGGGCTACGACGTTATTGGCATCACAGAGACGTGGTGGGATGGCTCCTATGACTGGAGTGTTGGGATGGAGGGATACAGGCTCTTTAGGAAGGACAGGCAGGGGAGAAGAGGAGGGGGTGTTGCCCTCTATGTCAACGACCAGCTGGAGTGCATGGAGCTCTGCCTGGGGATGGATGAGGACCTGACCGAGAGCTTGTGGGTCAGAATTAAAGGGAAGGCAGGGACAGGTGACACTATGGTGGGGGCCTGCTACAGGCCACCTGACCAGGAAGACCAAGCAGATGAGGCCCTCTATCGACAGATAGGAGCAGCCTCACGTTCATAAGCCCTGGTCCTCCAACCTCCCCGACATCTGTTGGAGGGACAACATGGCAGGGCATAAGCAATCCGGGAGGTTCCTGGAATGCGTTGATGATAACTTCCTTTTCCAAGTGGCAGAGGAGCCAACGAGGAGAGGTGCTATGCTGGACCTTGTTCTCACCAACAAGGAGGGGCTGGTGGGGAATGTGAAGCTCAAGGGCAGCCTGGGCTGCAGTGACCACGAAATGGTGGAGTTCAAGATCCTTAGGGCACCGAGGAGGGCGCACAGCAAGCTCACTACCCTGGACTTCAGGAGAGCAGACTTGGGCTTCTTCAGGGATCTGCTTGGTAGAGTGCCATGGGACAAAGCCCTGGAGGGAAGAGGGGCCCGAGAAAGCTGGGTAATATTCAAGGATCACCTCCTTCAAGCTCAGGAGCGATGCATCCCAACAAAGAGGAAGTCAGGCAAAAATGCCAGGAGGCCTGCATGGATGAACAAGGAGCTCCTGCACAAACTCGAACTCAAAAAGGAAGCCTACAGAGGGTGGAAGCAAGGACATGTAGCCTGGGAGGAATACAGAGAAATTGTCTGAGCAGCCAGGGATCAGGTTAGGAAAGCTAAAGCCCTG